AAAAAAAAAAAAAAAAAAAAAAAAGAAAGAAAGAAAGAAAGAAAGAAACTACCCAGTAAAGACATTCTTTAAACTTCTTCTAGGGAAGTCACTGCAGTATATTTGATAAATAAATAAATACCTCACAGCTATTACTTAAAGATGTGAGTCTACCCCGATTTTAAAGATATTTTTATATCCCTAACAATATGCACTTGTGAAATATAAATTGCTGTTACAGATTCATGCTATAGAAATAACAGTTAGTATTAAGATCCAACCCATGGATGAGATTTAGGAAAAAGAGAAACACTCATTTTATTTGAAAATTCTAAAGATGTTTGGTAGACCCCGAAAAAAATAGTTTTTTAATTTTAATTCTCATTAAATAATTAATTCTCATTAACTCTGGTGTGTGTTTTAACAATATGTATTTATAACATTGGGTCAGTAACATGTATTTTTTGAAGCTCTAAGGTCCATGTTTACCAACCAGTCTACAATTGTTTTGAACAACTAAACACTCATTAAGTGCATTTCAAAATATGGTTGTCTTATTTCGCTTCTCCTCTCCCAGCCTTTCTTCTCGTCAATCCCTCCTGTTTAATTTTGCTCTTTTTTTCCTCTTGAGGTAATAAACTTCCCGAACTGGGAAGAAGAAACAATCCTAAGACTCTAAGCATATAAAATAAGAACAGGGCAATTTTGAATTTGAAGTGCAGAGCTGCCCTGGAAGTCTGGCATTTGCTCATCTCGCTGTGCTTGAGCTTGACTGGAGCTCCAATCAGTGAGCAGTGGGCCAGGCTGAGAGTGTCACACGTTGAGGGCTGATATTTAGGCACAAAGGGGAAGGTAAGTGCAGAGTGCCACACTGGACTGTCAGCTTTAACTCTGAGCCGATTTACTTTGGAGCAGTGAAGTCAGAGCCCAGTCATTACTTGCGCCTGGGTTTGCTGGCTTACCCACATTATGTTCCTGCATTGTTTATTCACTATGTCGTGTTGGGGTCAATTGTGATTTAAGTGTTAATTGCTAAATGCTCTTTGTGTAATTGTTCTGTATGGGGGCAGTTCAGCTTTCCAAAATGTTTCCATCTGTTTTAGATTTTTTTTTTTAAATTCAAGATTGCATTTATTTGTGTGTGTGTTGTGTGCGTGTGACTCTAACATAGGTACATACAAACTCATATATATTCATTTACTTGTCTAACTGTTTTTGAAGGAATGAATGTGGATTAACAGTGTTATCCTTTCCTAACAATTATCTTTCGCTACTCTAGCTAGTTTAGTTCTAAAAGACAGCGCCATTGACAAGGGAAAAAAAGGGAACCTTCTCAGATTTTTCAGCTCAGCGGTGGTAACGTTGCCGTGAACACTAATGAGGGAACCCCCACTGCTTTGCCTGCTTTGTGACTTTTCTATTTCATAATTATTTTTAAAACGCAAAACGACATGAGGTAGCCTCGTCATGTCTCTACAACTTCCTGGTAGCGCCGTTCTTACCGCAGATGGCAATTTGTTCTTGTAACATATATCTCTCTCTGGCCATTTTCATCTAATTTGTATGGGTTCTACCATTTCTTTTCTCTCTTTCAGGGACCTTGCTGTGTGTGAGCTAGGGGGTGGCATGACATGCTTGGCTGGGCTCATGGTAGGTCTTTTCTCAATTCCAATCCCATTCACAGGGAGGAACAAAAGGAAAAATGTTCCAGGGCCTCCAACTGCTGGGTCAGAGAACCGTCAACAGCATCAGCTGCGGTCAAGCTGCCGGGTCTTGAGAGACCTTCTAGATTGACTTACCTTCGGATCATATTGATTTTATGGTTGCCTCGATGAGCAGAAACATTTTGCCTCAGTGTGGTCAATATCGCTTGTTGTGACATTCCAGGCCTCGCGCAGTCTTTCTTTGCCATAGTGAAAGCATTTTTTTTTTTTTTTCAGATTATAGTCCCATTTGCTAAGATACAGGAATAGCCCGGCAAATCACAGTTGGAGCACCATGATATAGCTGCTAATGTTTTGCCTGCATTATTACACCAACAAACATGATCCAGAGCGCTCAGTAATTAGATTCTTTTGAATTAGATTGGCCATTCAGGAACGTCGTTCCCCATTCTCTGGGTTCTGAGTCATGTATTCAGGAGATATTATGTAGCAGCACAGTGCATTAGACAAGTTTTTATGTCTCTACAAATAAAAGCATATTGTTACACTGATTGGCATTTGACAAACCTGTCGCTCTTATACAATGTGTCGAGGTTACAGCCCAATGTGCGAGCATGTCAAAGCTCACAAAAAAATTACCCTCACAAAGCCATCTGCCTGCAATGCAAAGTTATATGAAGGGCATCAGGCAGTCAGACAGAAGCAAGCTGAAAGGCAGAGTGACAGCCTTGTATGATGGCTCTACTAGATAAACAGAAGCCCACAAATGAAAGCCTCTCAGAATACCATCATCCGCTGTCACAATGCAATTACCGAACAGAATGATAGCAAGATAGAGGCTCCCGCAAATGGAATGATAAAAGTATTGACTGATTTGATTGAATGATTAAAATAATGCAGACATAAAATGAAAAAAGATTGAAGATTGTTACAGAGAAATAGGTGAGGAAGCATGATACTGAAGGCTTGTCACTCCTGTCTTCACTTCCACACAGACAAGCATATTTGCTCATTGTTTGCTGTGCTCCCTTTTTTTTTTCAGGTTGCTATTTCTGCAGATGTCAAAGAAGTTCTGTTAACTGATGGGAATGAAAAGGCCATCAGAAGTATCCTTATTCAGATAGAAAACGGGTTTGTTGTGCTCATTCCTTTTTCCCGGCGGAGTAACAATTGATATAAAGAAAGACAGCATGGGGCACTAAAAGAGAGCTCCTCCCCACCCACACACACATGATAAGTAATTAAGAAAAAGTAAAAATATATGAATTCATTGCGTGCTACTCCATGTTCTGCGTTCGATAGGTTTCTGTAAACACTTCTTTTTAAAAGAGCCTTATTGCCTCTGTTTCAAGGCAATAAGAAAATTTCTTTCATGATGATTTCCAAGCATTCTTGTTCTTTTATTTCCATTGAAATTGGACAGTAAATTATTTAGTACTGATTGTATTGGATATTACTGGCAAATATTAACTTCCAGCTTCATGTGTATTTCTTTTTCTACATTTGATATTATGCGTACTGTGTAATATTGTACCTACTCTCATCACCTGTGTCCCCCCACTGAAATAGCTATCAGTTCTTCATTATTTCCTTGTATTTAGGATTATGGAAGCTATCTCTTTTTTTCTGCTGTCCTATTACAGTTCAAACTCCATTATATTAGATTATGCTTTACTAATATGTACACAGAGTTCGTGAAAATTGAACGGTACTTTAACTAAGAAAGCAAGCATAATTTGTGGCTACGCTAGCAGTCGAGCTGGTTTGTTCAGGGGCAGTTAACAGCTGTTAGAAACTGAGAGGAAAAGTAGAAGACATGTTTACTTTGAGGTTTTTTTTTGTTTGTTTGTTTGTTTTTGATGTGCCTCACACTTCCATTATGCAGGAGATAGTCTACTTACTTGAATTGTAAGCCCCTAAAATCTCAAAGCTGTTTTGATTTTTGTGGCATTTTACATAAAACCGATTTTCAATTTTCTTTTTCTACCCCTGCTATGTCATTTCTTTTGAAAATAAAATTTGCAGCAGCTCCATCCGGCTGCAGGAACAGGAGAAAGGAGGTGGGAGACACACAGTCGCTAATATTGTTCAGCAGTGCTCCTCGTGTGCTCTGCCGAGCCCCACCCAGCTAATTGCCTGCCAGACTTAAAAAAAAAAAAAAATTCAGGAAGGAAAAACAGCCAATCACAATCTTGGCCTTTCACACACGAGAAAGAGATCACAAAAGGTGCTTCCTATTTTAAAATACAGGATTTTCATCATGATCTTGAGACTGTCGCAAGTTTTTCAAAATATTCCTGAAGATGATCTGATGTTGTTCCATTCAGTGTGCTTTATTCTGAGTCATTCCGTGCATGTATCATCTCCCTGTGCTCCTCCTCTTTATGTCAGGGAGGAAGCTCAGAGGAAGCTCAGGTAGGCTAGCTCAGCCCCAGGGGATGGGTTTTTTTTTTGGGGGGGGGGGCAGGATTATTGGACCAGAGAAGGTTATTTTAGCCACAAAAACTTCAGATTGGGCCTAGGAACCTGAGGCGTCTCTCAAATCAGCAGGTGTCTTATTTAATAGCATCAGAGGCCAATTAGAACTTTTATCAAACTATGGGAAACATCTGTAGTCAGTCTGCAAATTTCATTGTACTGAAATTATTGTTGAGCTAAACGGCAGAGCTTCCAAAGAAAGGAGGCAAGGCTAATGTCATTAATTAATGCACCTTTGCTTTAAACAGCAAAGATGCCACGCCAGCTCTTGAAATCAGAGAGGAAATCTCAGATTCTGTATTCATTCTGCTGGCCTTTCAAAGAAATGATTGGTACAGCCCCCTCCCAAGAAAATGGATTTTTAACATTTGGTCCTCAGAAGCTCAGCCCTGAGAGTGCTTTATTGGGCTAGGTTTTACAATGGGTTTAATATAGCAGGGTGCCAAAGAGCAGGAGGGGAAGAACTTTACAATGTAGATAAAGTAGGTCCTTTCAGGATGCAGACCCAAACTGGTAGTGTGGTTTATTTCATCGCTTAGGACTTTCCTGATGGAGTTCAGTTTGTACCACGCAGTTGTTCTATGTTTGTGTGCCTTTTTCTGTTGTAACTAGATCTAATTTTTTTTTAATTAAGAGAAAAAAGCATGCATAAAGCCTTAAAATTGGCAATGTGTTTTTTCCTGCTTTTAATACTAATGTTATTCTTGATTTGCTAACAGAGCTTACAATTGGCATTCGCTGTAATCTGTTTTACTGACTGAGGTTAATATGAATGAATTTTTTTCTAAGTGTGTGCCCACTTTCTGTAAGAATTACTAATTCACTGAATCACATACTATTGATGCATATAGATTGAAACAAACTCATTTAAAAATTACTGTTTACAGCTTTCCTTTAAAATTTTAGGAAGCCTAAATTATATAGCAGTTGTAGGATATTATTCAAAAATTACTTTCTAAAAAGTAAAAGTGGATGTCAACAAAAAAAGGGGGAGAAACATTGCCAGAAGCCAGAAAATCTCTAAGCAAAGCTGCTAATTATTCTTAATGGGCAAGATGAGCACATTAAGAAACAAATGAATACATCAGCGAAATGTAATTGAAAATCGACCTGGCAGTGGTACATCACGTCTGAGTATTTGGCCTGTATGGTATTCTCATCATTTTAAAAATTATTTTTGTTGTTCTTGGCTTCTGAATTTAATGAATCCAACTGAGTCTTCCGTCTTAGCCTCTTAGCATCCAATATTATGATTTTTAGCTTTCTTAAAAAAATAGTATTTTCTGATATTTCCTTTCCATTTGCTATTATTTTTATTTTTATTTTTTAACATGTGAGGCAATGAATGGATTAGTTTCGAATCTTTATATCACGGAAGCATGTCAACCAGTTGTGAGGTTATTGATTATCTCCCTATAAGGTATTGAACAGATTGCTTGTGTCTTCTCAAACTCTCTTCCTTGACTCTGGAAAGCTAGATGTTGATCTGAAATTTATTAAACAGAGATATCTGTAAAGAGATTAAGACTCGAGGTAAAGTCTTAATAGAAAAATGAATTTTGTAAATCCAGGCTGTTTTCTCAGACTCCTGGGTAGCCTCCTCTCGGGTTTTTCATGGTCCTTAAAGAGCATTTCTGGGTCTAGCCCAGGGTTCTCCTTCCTGAGAGCTGCACCTCCCTACAAGTGACATTTTGTCAATACCCCAAAAGAACAAAACATAAGTTAGAAATAGGGTCATTTAGTTCATCCAGTTCTCAAATTGATTCTAAAATAGTGTGAGATATGATCCTTTTTCTTTGACATTGCCCTTTTAGTGTAGTAAAGAAAGAGTTCTTCCACTGCCCATATATAATAATTATCCAAGAAAATTAGTAACTGGTGATGATAATGTTAAAATAAGGGAGAGAAATAGTATATGTGGAGCTATTATTGATGCTAAGCCTCTTACAATTATAGTGAATAAAATTAGAACCCCCACCCAAAAGTTCCTTTAACCCCCTCTGTGGCTACAATCACTAACTTCCCCAGCACACGCACCTGCCTTGATCATCCTGCACTGAGCGTGTGCTCTGCAGATGATTCCAATGCTTGGTGAGTCATTTCTTTGCGCCCCTGACCCACGTACCTTATCCCCACAGAATGCATGGTCTTGATCGTGGTCTGGATCATGATCTGGAGCTTAGGATTCTCCAAAAATTGGTAAAGCTCCTTTGCTTTTTATTTTTTTGAGACAGGGTCTCACTCTGTCACCCTGGGTAAAGTGCCCTGGTGTCGTAGTTCACAGCAATCTCAAACTCTTGGCCTTGAGCAATCCTCTTGCCTCAGCCTCTCCAGTAGCTGGGACTATAGGCTCCAATAGGACACCTCTCTAGTTTGTCTATTTTTAGTAGAGATGGAGTCCTGCTTTTGCTCAGGCTGGTCTGAAACTCCCGAGCTCAAGTGATCCACCTGCCTCGGCTTCTGCTTTACTTTTTAAGAGCTATCACTGGTTTAACAGAGTCCCTGACTTGAGTAATTAATAAATGAAGCTTTATGTGAATCGTGCAGCCTGAGCCTGAGTTGTCGCAGCCGACAACTTGGAAATCCCAGGCCAACTTCCTTTGTCCAGGCCCCTTCCTCCAAGATCAATGGCAGTTATACTTCTAGATGAGTCGTAAGGGAACTCTATGTGCCTTGTATTGGGTAGGAGCTCAAGAAGTATCTTTTAAAATTAAGTTAAAATCAATTAAACCAGTATTCATGGCATGTCATTTCTGTGCCTAAAGACACCGCAGTGAACAAGAGAGACCTGGTCTTTGTCCTTGTGGGGCCCAGATTTTGCTTTGGGTCAAACACATATATACATGTAAAAGACTAAAAAACTAAGGAGCAGAAGTTCTTTGGTTGTTTCTAATTATTTAAATTCTACAATATGGCATGCTACCCCAGGCAACAAAAATAAATAAATAAATAGCAATAAATTCTGAGCAGCTCAGAAAGAAAATAAGGCTTTCCTGCCAGACCTCATTTCACCAGCTTCTTCATCCAACCAAAGCTTTTGCCTGAATTATTTAAAAAGATAATGAATTGATATGAATAAGGCATCTAGTATGTGTCAGGCCCATCATGTGATAGTGCAGTAAGCCTGCACAGTAAGTATTGTAGTCCCCAGTTTAGAGATGGAGCTCAGAGAGGTTAATTTATCCAAGGAAACACAGCTACTGAGTATCAGAACTAGCACCAGAAGCCAGTTTCATTTGATTCAAAACTTATTGTTTCCTATTAAACCATCTGTTTTACAAAAGCTAAAACGATTTGGTAAATGTCCGCTTGTATTTCCTCAGCACCCCCAGGAACACAAGTCTCATCTGTAAATGTAAGAGCTGGTATTGCTAACAGAGAGTTCACACTGCCTCTGTTTCCTCCTCTCGATTAATTTGAGTATGAAGCACATGTAAGAATATTTTGCATCCTTAAATTAGCAAATATTATCACAGCAAGCATTTTTTAAAACCCTTTAGACATCACAATACATAAGATTTTTTAAAAAGAGTAAGATTTAGGTGGCACCTGTGGCTCAAGGAGTAGGGAGCCTGCCCCATATGCCGGAGGTGGTAGGTTCAAACCCAGCCCTGGCCAAAAACCACAAAAAAAAAAAAAAAAAAAAAAAAAAAGAGTAAGATTTAGGGCGGCGCCTATGACTCAAATGAGTAGAGTGCTGGCCCCATATACCAGAGGTGGAGGGTTCAAACCAGCCCCAGCCAAAAAAAAAAAAGTCAGATTTATAATCTCATAGTTTCCTACCCTCATTTTTGTTGCTCCAGTGAAAATAAAGAACATAAACCGAGAAAGTAGTGCTTTGTAAATCAGAGTGTTATATTAAAAATATTTTCTTGCATAAAAAACAATGCCAACACTCAAAATGTATATGCAACTATTTTTTTTTTTTAAGACAGAGTCTCACTATGTCACCCTCAGTACGGTACCATGGCATTGCAGCTCACAGCAACCTCAAACTCTTGGGCTCGAGCGATTCTCCTGCTTCAGCCTCCCAAGTAGCTGGGACTATAGGTGTCCACCACAACACCTGACTATTTTTTTGTTGTAGTTGTCATTGTTGTTTGGCAGGCCTGGGCTGGATTCGATCCCGCCAGCTCTGGTATATGTGGCTGGCACCCTAGTTGCTGAGCTACAGGTGCCAAAACTGCAACTATTGATAAATACAATGATGACTCATTGCAAGAGGAGGCTAAGATTTTAAATGGTATGGTATATACATCTACATAATTCATTTGAATGATTACTATATAAAAATACATTTCTTGGCCAGGCGTGGTGGCTCATGCCTGTAGTCCCAGCGCTATGAGAGGCCAAGGTGGGTGATTGCCTGAGCTCAGAGGTTCGAGACCAGCATGAGCTGGAGTGAGCCAGAGTGAGACCCCGTCTCTACCAAAAAAATAGCTGGGCGTTGTGGTGGGTGCCTATAGTCCCAGCTACTTGGGAGGCAAAGGGCAAGAGAATCGCTAAAGGAAGAAAGGAAAAAAAATTTAAAAAAAAAAAAAAACCAAACTTCAAACTAAGATGAGTGAAAGCCAGCTGAAATTGAAAGCAAAAAGAAATAATAAATAAACAAATAAGTAAAAATACATTTCTTAAGAATAAAAATAAACTGAAACAAAATTGAAATGGAGCCCCCCTCCTGAACTGTGCTTTATTTGAGAAGAAAATCTAGAGATTGAATTCTGGTTTCCTTTTAGCCACAAGCACATATCTGGTAGCTCTGGAAGTCCAGTTGCCCAGATTGGAGATGATTGCTCTGTATTCATTTAATCAGAAATCGCATTAAGGCTTTCTTTGCACCCAGCCCCTCCCACAGAAGTCTTCCAGGAGGTGGGTGCAGTTCAGGGAACACAATTTGGTCTGCCATGTTGAACACTATCTTGGACATATTGACTCAATTTGATTGGATTTCCTTTATTACCCTGAGGTGACACAGAAGTATGATAAAATCTATTACTGGATACAGTGCCATTCAGAAGAGCCATCAGAATCTGACCTAAAGTAAAGGCTGGGGTGCAGGATATCAGAATTTATCTCTTAAGGTAATATTTAATAATACTATTGCCATTTTTTCCTCTTTGTACTTGTTTTCATATTAAAAAACCCTCCTAAACCACAAAGCATATTTCCTGCCCCATTCTAAAAATAAAGCAGCGTAAATACTGCTGTGAATTTTTTTATTAAAAAACATTGCTTCTAGAATATAAATACATATGCTTACATCAGCCTGACCACCTGGGGTCCCAGGTTTATAAATTGTATAAAAGTATATAGCATTAAGATGTTTACTAAAAATTATTAATAGGCTTTCTGAATTATATAATTTAACTTCCTTGTGACTATTTTATAAAAAGTATTACCTCCACTAACAAAATAATATGTTTTGCTTGATAGATTAGTCATGTACTCACACGACACTACAGGTGTACCTGGTACATTATGGCATGCAGTTGGATACCATGGAAACTCTTGAGTAGGGTGTGGCCCTACTGTGGGGGAACTTAATCAAAAACAGTTGTCAGTGACTCTTTCCTAATTTTGTTCCTCTCAGAATAAGGATGTCAGCTGTCCTGTTCTGCAAGACATTTCATTTAGAAGACTTTCCTGAAATACTTTCTTCCTGAAATAGACAGAACTGTAGGCCGATGTGTCATTTTAGTTAATCAAAACAAGTAGGCAAATTAGTCTCTTTTATTTTTTTAATGAATGTAATTTAACGGTATTTAATTTGCATACAGGAAAGTTCACCCAGGAAAAAAAAAAGTCTGCATTATAGCACTTTTGTAAACCTCAACAAAGCCCTTCATTAGGAGACCTAATTGATTTTCCTACCCACTCCTGGGGGAAGAAAGCTATCACAGTACCTGCTTATTCACTCAGAGAAAAAATGGGTGTGCCTAGTGGTTCAAGCAGAGATTTGGGTTAAAACGTCCTGTGGCTCTGTTCTTGGAGGGAGATCTTGGCCACGGCTTGCTTTGAGCACTCAGGAAATCTGTTTTTCTGAGCAATAGGAGAATATCACTTGTCCGCTTGGTGTCCTCCCCATGGGCCCAATTTAGTTCAGCTTGCAGCCTTCACTGGAATTATTTCATTTCTTGTTTATTTAAACCTGCCTCATTTCAAAAGAGGGATTTTGAGAGTTCTTACAGTGGCACATAGAATATACAATATAAAATAGATGAGAAAGTGAGGCCAGTTGGAAATTAGAATGCCAGGAAAATATGATCAAGCAGCCATGAAGAGAGTTCAGTACAGAAAACACATGCCATAGGAGCTCTTGTGGTTGTTAGAATTGGGTCATACGTACTTTTGGCTCTGAGTTTCACAGGGGCCACAGCAAAGAGAGAAAGAGGAACAGCTATCAAATGTATAGTGCCCAGGAGCTAAAGCAACATCAATTGATCTCTAGTCCACCTTGTTCTGCATCAAAATCTGATGATTTTTTCCATGGGTCCTCATAGAGATGGTGCTGTGTGTTGTAATGAATCAGCCCCTCAAAATGGCTCTTTTGTGCAAGTCCTTACATGCCAGCAGATGGCCAAAAGCCAAAGCGTAAGTCTATAAAGACAGTTCTCAGGAGACCTTTCACTGGATTGATTTGCTTCTTCAGTAATTCATTTTCTCCCAAAGATTCCCCAAGTTTGTCTCCATCTTTTTCTTCTTACTTCTTCCCAAGTCTCTCCCTGCCGCTCATCCCACCCTCCCTACTGACTGGAAATACTCCATCTTGGAAAGTCTCAGAAGACTAATATGGTCCCCCCTAACCCCACCGACTGGCACCTGTGTAACAGTCATTCCCCTTGACCCAGTAGCTCTGGCCCTTGCCGCGATGCTACCTGAATGAATGTACATTTCACAGGTAACAAACCTGCAGCCCAGGGAATCAGAAGAGCTTGCCTGTAGCAAGTCAGCACCTGATGGTAGAGCCAGGGCTGTGCCCTTCTCCTACCTCACATCCTACAGCTTTTCCCTTTCCACTGTGCTGACCACTGTGTCTGTGGGCCTTTTTCTGAATCAGTTGACAGTTGCTGGAGAAACTTTCTTAACTGTGTCCTACAGACGTGAGAGACATCATCACAAGGAATCGGAAGGCTGGTGTGTTTAAGACTCGGGAAGTATCAAGCTGGTAAGATACCTTTCTGTATTCAAACATTCAATTAAAACCGCTTTTCTTGATACTATGGGGAATTATTAACAATAATGGCTAGCCTTTATTGAGGAGTTACTGTATATCAGGCACTGTTTTAAACACTTTATAAGTAGTATCTCATATAATGCTCACAAAACTCCTATGAGTCAGGCAGACACTCTCATTATCTCTAATTAATTGATGAGAAAACTGAAGGTAAGTATTTATATGGTAGCACCTCCACAGTTGACCACCTCCCTGCATTGGCCACCTCCTTGAATTGACCTAATTTTCATAAACCAGGCATACTCCACATGTATGTATCAAAACAGCAGGCCTAGCTCCTTATGTTGACCAGTTTGTTACAGTGCCTTGGATGGTCAAGTTACAGAGGTTCTACTGTCTACGTGCATTAAACACCAGGTAGAGGATGGCTGAGATTGTACAATATAAGATTGAGAGAAGCCCACCCTAGGAACTCCTCAAGTGGCTTTATTCCACTGGTTCTCAACCTAGGGGCAGTTTTGCCTCCCGAGGGAATTTTGGCATCCTCTGGAAACATTTTTCTTATTGTCATCACTTGGGGGAAGGAGGGGGAGTGTTGCTACTGGCACCTAGTGGTAGAGGCCAGGGATTCCACTAAATATCCTACAGTGTACAAGTCAGCCCCCTACCACCAAGAAGTCTCTGGCCCCAAATGCCAGTACTGGCCAGACTCAGAAGCCCTGCTCTTCTGTGATGTTAAGATAGTCTAGGTATCCATTCCCTTTTAGATTCTGCTAATTCTTAGCCAAACTGGGAGAAATGTTTACCCTCAGCCAAAAGAGTGGTTCTGTTCTGTGATGCTTTATTTTTGCCCTGTTGGTAATGGACCTGGAGGAATGAGTAATCATTTAGTAGTTTTCACACAAAATAGCTATATTTGTGGATTTTCCTCGTGCATTTAACCACAGACTTATTAGAGCAATTCCATTTTTAACTAGTTATTACTATTACTCTGTCATCCTTTGGTAATTTAAGTGCTCCTTATGTTGAGGACGCCTTCCCTCATCAGCTGCCCAGTTTGATTTAAAAAAAAAAAGAGAGATGGATGAACAACTACAACACTTAAAATCCTAAGTGGACAACATTCTGATGTGAGGGCTATGGAACAGTAATCATTTTTTTCTCCGATGTTAGTTGGTGAACGTAATGGCGTGTCAGTACATATCTTTTAAATCCTGCATTTAGAATGCTCAGAGTAGGCTGATGGCACAGGGGGCAGCATGCTCCGTGTTTCTCATATAAACGAACAAACCAGTTCCGCTTTGCAGAAAATCCTGAGTAGGTTCAGAGACAGAGAAAAGTCTGCCCTTCCCTGTGTGGTCTTCATCCTTAGGGCAGCCTTCCCTCCACAGTGTAGACAGCCAGACCCTCTGGAGAGGACTTCATTTTTGAACATGATTTTCAACTAGGTCTTTTAGTTATCAATCAAAAGCACATTTTCCACATTGCCCTCATTTACATTTATTTAATGCTGATGGTCATTTGTGACCAGTTGAGTGTATTTCGGCATATGGCATCAGGAAATAATAGATTTCAGCTTCATGCTGTGAAAAGAGATTGTGTTTTTACAAGACATAATGTTGTTTACTGGGTGTTAATAATCACTAATTAATAAACATATCCAGACTTCTAAAATGTTGCACTGTGAGGAATAAAAATGTCAAGTGTTTAACTTACAGAGCACAATAGTATTTTCTATCATCACTTCATAAAATAATTGTTACATGAAGAAGCTTTCCTCAGCACAGGTCATATTCTAAATGCTTAATACACGGCCTTTGTTTCTATTTTTCTGCTCTCAAAAACGCAGTTTCTAAACATATTGTTCCAATAGGTACCTGGACATACAGTCTTTCTGTCAGTAATCATATAAGAACCTCCAAGATGAGGGATTTTTTTTTCTGTCTTAATCTCATACTAATTGTGGTGAGTTTTGTCTTTTAACCACAGCAAGAATTTTGTCAAAAATCTACTGAAGCACTTGCTAGAAAACAGGTAGATGAATCAGTCCTTGAAATTCCTTGATCTTATCCTAAGGAGCTAACTTGACCGCTTACCTGTTAGGAAGCTCAGAGAAATTGCCAACCAGTGGTGGAATAATCAGCATTCTCCTCCATCCACCGCTTTCCCACCCATAACCAGTACAATGTGATGAAAGTATTAGTTCCATGAGAGAAGAAATAAAAGGAAACCATTCACAAAAGAACTAAGATAGAGCTCAATATTCTTTTTTAGTGCCTCAATGCATATGCAGAATTTCTCTTCTAAATTGGAGGTGTGGAATAACAGTAGCGACAGATAACTAAGAGGTATTTACTGGAGCTACAAAGCCCACACGTGAGCCAAGTATTTCTGCTATTAAAAAGCACTTCAGAGCTGGACATGAAGTTTGTAACAGCTGAATGTCTCTTGTGACTTCATTTGCAGAGAAGACGTAGAAGCTGAAAGGAGAGTAAGTGATGTGAGAACTGTGAGCACAAGAAATGATGTTTTTGAAAAGACATGGCAGGTGCCCAGAAGTTTGACTGGTGTCCAAGCTCCCCTTCCCGCTAGTGGGACAATGTTCTCAGTAACTACCAGGATTTCTCTGGCGACCGGCCTCTTCCTACCTCTTATACAGGGACAGTTCCTGGTTGTGTGGGGCCGGAAACTTATCTTGAGGCTCTCTTTAGAGGGATGAATTGTGTTATACCTTACATTAGTAAATTTTATAGAAACATATGATTGTGCAAATACATCACTAAGACTTCCTTGAAGGGCCTTGTGAGAGTCTCTGACACTGAAGCTTCTTCATTAGCCTCACAGGAAATCCAGCCGTCTCCTAACATCGACCTTCCTTGCCTAGAGTAACTCTCTTCCCTCATATACCAAACTTTCTTGCTCCCCCGACCCACTTTAATCCAAGTCTGATTGTTGCTGAATATGAAAGACATATTTGTGAAAGTCTAGAAGCCTTAGCCCTGGTGTGATCTAGGAACCGTAGATGTGACAGATTATATTCCTACATCTCAAAGATCTTGATGCGATCATTTGATGGTGGTTTATTTGTTGGCCCATCCATGCCGCTATCCATTCATTGAACAAATACTTTACTTTTGGAAAAATGTTTTCCAAAGTACTTTACTTTTGGAAATACAAATATGGAGTTATCTAAAGCAATTCTTGAACGAAAGAAAATTATGTTTCTAAATGTAGCGAAAGATTGACGAAAGAGCAAAGATATTTACAGCATCTCAATTGTTGGGTTTACATGAAGCTGTCTTCAAAACTGTGACTGTCTAATAAAGAACGATTTGATCCTTTTGAGGTCTGCATATTTCTAAGTCTTCCAGAATTGGTGAATAGCGTCATTCTCTGGTTAATATTAGTTAAAAGTTACAATTTTTAAAAAATCTCTTACATTTCCCCTGCTATGATGGAAGTTTCACTTAGAGCGTGTGTGAAAGTTGCTGGTGAATTTTAGGCTTATGACTTTTATTATTCTTTAATAAACTGAGTTTAGCAAAATGTGGAACTTATTTTAAGATTTTTTTATAACCCATAAATTTTACCTTTATGTGGGCCTCCAGAATTGCCTCTTGGTCCCATTGTCCTGTTGTTATTTAAGATTTATATCAGGGGTGTCCAACCTGTAGCCTGCGGCCACATACAAATTACATGAGGCCTGTTTGCTTATCTGTAGTGTTAGATATTGCAAAAAGTATAGGGACCTTTTTATGTGCTCATCAGCTTTTGTTAGTGTTTGTGTATTTAATGTGTGGCCCCAAACAACTCTTATTCTTCCAATGTGGAGCAGAAAAAAGAAAAAAGGTTGGACACCCCTAATTTATATCTTTTTCTAGTCTCAGTCTCCTTTAGAAGTTAAAATGGGGGCTCGGCATCTGTAGCTCAGCAGCGAGGGTGCCAGCCACATATACCAGGGCTGACAGGTTCGAACCCAGCCCGGGGCCTGCCAAACAACAATGACAACTACAACAAAAAAATAGCCAAGCATTGTGGCAGGCACCTGTAGTCCCAGCTACTTGGGAGGTTGAGCCAAGAGAATTGCTTAAGCCCAAGAGTCGGAGATTGCTGTGAGCTGTGATGCCACGGCACTCTACCCAATGTGACATAGTGAGACTCTGTCTGAAAAAAAAAGAAGAAGTTAAAATGGGGATATGGAAAATGATTATTTGAAGGTGGGTCCCAACCAAGTGGGATCTAATGGCTGCTTTTTCCAGACCTTCTGCAGTCTGCCCTCATCTTCTCATGCCATCTGACCACCACCCCCTCCTTTGCCCACCCAAGCCTCCGTCCTCACTTGCCTCCCAACATATCTGGTCTTTGCCAATCTTGGTACCCTTCTCCTTCATCCATGCAAATCCCTCCTTCCTGGATGGCTCAAGTACCAGGTCCCCCTGCCTTCTCAGACTGTTTCAGCCTGTCCCAATCTTCTCTTTAACTTCTGTTGGCCTTAGAATAGTAGCACAGTTTAACATGGCTCATTGTCTTATTATTCAAAGCATGTTGGCTTTGTTTCTGTGTTCACTGGATCAGTCACTTGTTGACGGGTATTTTTATCACTTCTGTTTGCCAAGTACTAGGTGCTGCAGATGCCATGGCGAACAAGACTGAGAAAGCCCATGCCTTTTTTGAGTTTACATCTAGGGGGGAAAGACAGATAACTTTTTTGAAGGCAAGGATTCTACTTATGTCGTTTTCCTCCCTGAAGCAATTAATAGGCTTTACCCTTGGTATGGGAAAGCTGTGTATTTGGAGCACATTTTGAAAGACATGAGTCCATAAGGCTTATAGAACCAAACAATTTTTAGTAGAAGAAAGTCAAGCTCTGGAGATTCAGACATCACTTTGTATATCAGATAGCTGACTTTCATTTCAGGAGTGGCCTCTTCTCAGGCATGCACCTGTGGTGTCTTAGACTGTCAACTGACAGTGTGAGCAGGCGTTTATCT